GGTTATCACGAGTTTGCTTTTTTTTATAATAACTTTTACGCCTCTTTTTTAATTGTAATTCACGCTATTTTGCAGCTTCAGATGCTCTTTTTATACATTTATTCTCTTTATCACATGCATTTCAAATTTTACATTGCTCAATAGTTTCATCTGCTCTTTTTTTCATTTTCATAATGTATCACAAAACGATCAGATATCTATTCTCATTTATAATTTTTATAAGCAATTAATCAATGAAAATAATAACACAATAGAAATTTACAATTATTTGTAATATTACAACGAAAAAAATTTACACATTACAAATAATTAATTAATTATTTTTTATTTTTAATCAAATATAATGTATTATTTTTACAAAATATATATAATATTTAAACTATAGTATCTGCTATATTTTTTTCAGTTTTGCAATGTATCATAAAGTGATCAGATATCTATTCACGTTTACAGTTTTTATAAGCGATTAATCAATAAAAATAACAATACAGCAATCAAAAATTTACAATTACTTATAATATTACAATGAGAAAATTAACACATTACAAATAATTAATTATTTATTTTTTATTTTTAATTAAGCATAACGTATCATTTTACTATAATTTCATTTATTCAGATGAAAAATAAACAGCAAATGTAAATAAAAATAATGTATTAATTCATCACACAAAGATCAAGCAATTTCATTGGTAAAACACGCGTGTAGATAGATACCACATGCATAGTTTGCAGTAGAACAGAAGTGTCCTATACTTACACTCTAAACAATTATATTAAATATGCTAATATATTAAATATATTAACTATATTAAATATGTTAAACATGTTTAATATATTTGACATTTTTGATATTTTATACTATCACATATTTGTAGATCTATGATCATTAAGATCAATATTCAGTTATAATACTAAAAAATACTAAAAATATTATTAAAAAATAATCATCAATTAGCTGAACAAATAAAGAACAAATTTCAAAAGAAAACTAAAATACAAGTTTCTACTCAAACTATAAGAAGAAATTTGCATGAACTTAATATTTTTTTATATTCTAATATCCAAACCTTTTCTTAATAATAAACAAAGAGAAAATTGATTAAACTGATGTATTAAAAAAAAGATTGATTCATTAATAAATAGAATTCAACCATTTAAAACAATGAAAATTACTTTATAATATTTAAAGATAGTAGTCCAAAATGTGTTTAGAGAACTTCTGAAATAAGATTCAATATTAACAATATGATTTCTTCAATAAAACATAGTGGTAGAAGTATAATGATGTGAGTTATTTTTCTAGAAAAGAATTGGAATTGCTAGTAAAGATTGATGGAAAAATAAACCATAGTAATTATATTCAAATATTTGAGAAATATTTATTACTATTAACAATAATTTTAGTAAATAAAATTATTTATTTCAAAATGATAATACTCTAGAAATAAAATAAGTCAAAATTTGAAAAATTAGTCAAGTTAGTTACCTAACTTGAATCTAAATAATAGTTATAGTTAAAAAGATATATTAAAAATTATCTCAGACCTGCAAAAATTATAAAAGAATTAGAGCGTGTTTTGCATGAAAAATGAAATAAAATTCTAAAAAATACTTTAATAAATTTAATAAAAAGTATATTGCGCAAGATAAAAACATATATTAAGAATAATAGCTAGTTAACTAAATATAAATTTTATATATAGTAAAACTAATAATAGTTTAAATTTTAACCACACTTATTATATACATTTTTAAGTAATTAATAAATAAAAGGTCTATCCACTTTTATTTAGATAATATATATATTCAAATTACATTTTTAGCTAAAATATTATTAAAAATTTTAGTAATAAATAATTTAATCTTTAATATTACTACTAATATTTTTATTTTCATAAAATTGTCTTTACTTAATTTATTAATTAAATTATTATTTTAATATAGATTAAATTCTATATGTTTAATTATTTAGTATTTTGAAGAAAGTAAATAGTTATTATATATTAAATGAAGCTTATTTAATATTACTTTTAAGTATTATCTTATTTAACAATTAATGAAATAGTTCAAATATCTAATAAATTATTTAAATTAAGCTACATAATTTTTCTATTGATAAATATTATAATATAACCTATTTGTATAAATTATTAATTCTAAATTTTATAATCTGATATTTCTATATATAAAATTTCTAAATATATAAATGATTAATATTTATAATTTATTAAGTTTGATAATAATATAAAAATTGATATGTTATTTTATTATATTATAGTAAACAGAAAAATTACTTATAATAAAAACATATTTATAGATTTTATTTGATCATTATATTATATTTTCTGCTTTATTATTATTAATCATATTAAGAAAATTTAAATTTATGGTAAAATTACTAAACTTATTTTTCTTTTTAATTTAATCCTTAAAATTATGATCAATTAGTTTATTTAAAGATTTAATCAATATTTTAATTATAAAATATCAGTTCTTTTTTTTTTATTAAATTTTTCTTTAACTGTAACTTTACTTTATTAAAAGTAATAAAAATAAATGAAAAAATCCTGATAATTTTGTTAAAATCAATTTTTCTTTTATATAATTAATATATTAAGTTCAAATTCTAATATTAAATAATTTTATTTTTTTACTTAATTTAATATTTTTACCTAAACTCTCAAAATAATGATACTTTTATATAAATTTAAAAACTGGTTTTTCATTAAATTTAAAAATGTTGTGATTTATTATATAATTTAATTATATAATAATTTAATTTATCTAATATAATATTAAAATATTCTGATAAAATTTTATTTAAAAAAGTATTTTAAATTATTTTATTCATATAAGTATTTATGTTTTATATAATTAATGAAAGTAAATGCTTTAATATACTTTATGCCATCCTTTAGATTATAGAAATTTATAGACATTATTATAAAAAATAAAAAATTAAAATTTTTTTTAAAAAATTTTTTAATTAATTTTATAATATATATTATATTATTTTTTTAATTAGTAAGTATAAAATTATTTATAAAATATTTTAGAAAACTATAATATTTTAATGCATTAAAAAATAAACTTATAATATCTTAACATCTAGTAATTATTAAAATATGAAATAAGGTTTATTAGATTTATTATATTATAATATATCTAATAATAATATTTTTAAATTTTTAAAATTAATAATTACTAATATATATTAATATTAATTTTTTTATTTTAAAAATAACTTATTATTATTATTTAATAATTACAAATATATAAAAATTAGTTTGAAGTTTTCTTTTGTAAAAGTACTTTTTTATTTTTTCTATGTTTAAATTTTTATATATTCTTAAGATTTTCTTTTTTAATATAATCATAATATAATGTATCTAAGAATTTTTTGAAATATCAAAATATTTTACTAAATTTTATATAGTTTTCTTTATATATGTAATATTTTATAGTAAAGTTATAAAGTTATCAATTATATTTATTATTTTTATTTTTCAGAATTACAGAACTTTAATATAATAATTTTTTATATTTCTTTGTATATTAGAAAATTTTAAATAAGATTAATTATTAAAAAAAAAAGTTTTTTAAATTAAAGATTTAGAAAAAAAAAAATTTTTTATATTTATTTATATATACTTTATTTTACTTTATATAACACTTTATTTATTTTATGTAAAATAAATTTTTTATATTTTAATCCTTATTTTATATATATGTATGCATTTCTTCTCTTTAATCAGAATTTTTTTGATTGCTTTTTTTATATAAATAATTAGCTTAATAATTCTAAAGTAGCATAATAATTTACTCTTTTTTGCAATTCTTAATTTAAAGATCAATATAACAAGCAGTATATAATTTTGTATTATTTATTCACTTGATTATTAAGTTTATATATTTATTAGTATTTTATTGTATGTTAAAAGAAGATAATTTAATTATATTATATTTAAGATTGCATGGTAATTAATATTTAAAAAACAAATTTAATTTTTAGATTTATAAATAAGATTATATTAGTTTTAATATAAAAGATTAAATACAAAATTTTTATTATTCTGAATAAAATTTAAGAAGAAACTAAAGCTTTTTATATCAAATTTTTATTAATTGAAAACACATATAAGCAAAAAGATAAATTTGATTTTTTGAACTTTAAAAAAAAAAATAATATTTATAACAATTTTATCAAAATGTGAAGATTTTTATTATATAGAAACAAATAACAAAAAAAGTAATTAACAAGTAAGAAAACTAATTTTGTATTCTTAAGTTTAAAAAAAAGTTTTATTAATTCTTAATAAAAAATTGATTTAAGAAAAAGCTTATAAATATATTTAAAGTTTACAGATTTTTTTGTATTAAAAGTCTAATTCTTTATTATTAAACTTTTTAATAAATTTTAAATTAGTTTTATTTTAAATTTATACTTTTTAAACTAATTTATTTAATTATAATTTAATTAACATTTTGATCTATTTTAAAGTTAAATTTAAAATTTAAAATTTAACTTATATATTAAAAAACATATTGTATTAATTTTTAAAATATTTAATTTATTAAAAAGTTTATTTTCACAAAATTTATTATAAAAAGATTATTTTTATCTTTTTTAATTAATTTAGTTTTTAATTTATTTTAAAATGAAAATTTTTTAGAAATACCTTTTAAGAAATATGATTATATAAAGTTATTATATAAAGCTTTATATATCAAATAAAAAATTAGTATATCTTTGATCAACAGATAAAAAATACACGTCGAAATTATCCAATCAAAATGAAGATACTATGAGTGGCTTAGATAGGATTTGCTGAGTTTCAAATTTGATTGGATATAAAGTTTTTTTGGTGACAGGAATTTTTTCAAATGAGCATTTTTTTATTCCAATGAAATTTACATAATTGAGGAGTTAGCACTTTTGTTTGTATCTAAATATTTTTAAACCTGGTCAATTAAAATAAGTTCTTTTTTTTCAACAAATGCCACCTTCCGCTCATAAAGCCTCAGAAAAGGCATTAAACGCAAAACGTGCAAAACGACAAACCGCAACTAAACCAAATTATTTCGAGGGTAATTCTTCAGACATTGACTCTCCGGAGGACTATGACCCTATGATGACTGACACAGCCTTTGACGGCGGCGACCCCGAGTTTGGAATAGAACCCATGAGAATTGACGAAGATGAGTCCATGAAGAGATATGATGAGCGAGAGGAGGGAGAAGTCTCCGAAGGTGCATTTAAACAAAGTTATACCTTTGTTTTATGTCGTTTGAACTTTTAAATATGATTTCACTACTTCGTGTTTTGTTGTATAAACTATTATTATTTTTGAAACTATTTTGAATAGAACACCGCGAGACGGCAGTCGATCAAAAAAAAGAAAAAAAACGACAAGAAATCATCGACCGAATAGAAAAGTTACAAAAAGAATTTAACAGTAAAAAAGATGAGTAAGTAAAGTTTTTATAACTTTCTTTTGTTCGGTTTAATCTCGTCAGGACAGGTTATTTTGATTCTATTGGTCGTAAGGCTAGAAACCTCCACACAAATATCAAACTAATGCCGGCAGGAGCGGTAATTATTCATTCGAACCACTTACATACAATAGCATGACTTACTGTTGTCGATTGTTTGAATTAACAGGATATTCAAAGACAGTATAAGACAAATCGATTATGATATTAGGGCAATGAGGGAAGGTAATAATTCTTAACAACGAAATTGAGAATAAAACCTTTTAAATACGTAGAATTTCATAAAACAAAATTATATATATTAAAGGTACTCATCCGGAATATGAGGAACGTTTGCAACAACTTATTGATAGACGCGAGCAGACGCTTGAAAAGGCAAAGTTATATAAAAATTATCGTCTTGGATGCGTGGAAAAAATGTTTGACGCCGAAACGCGACAAGTTGAAGAGGATTATATGGTACGTGTCAAAAGTAACAATGTATAGAATTTTTAAAATTCTTTTGTTTTAATACGCATTAGGTTTATTAATACACAATTTTAATATGGTTAATAATAGCTAGAGAAACAAGGATTAAAAGAACAAATGCTGGCAGATATGGATGAACGGAGAAAGAAATTGAAAGAAGATTATGAGAGTTTTGACATAACGAGTGGTACTGAAAATTAATTAAATTTTTTTTTTTTTTGGACTTTGAATTAAATATGGTTCTTAAAAATTTTAAGACGCAGCAATGGATGGAAACCCGCGATATCATCCGCAAAGAAAATTGCGTGCTCGACAAAAAGAAGATACAGAAGTGAAAGTTAAAAAACCCAAAGTGACTGATATCCTTCTGCATATTTATGTTTATTTTTTAATCACGTGACATTCGTTATACAATCATTTCGTCATACCATTGTGTACCCTATTTCCTTAACTGCTGTGTAATACGACCATCAGTTTCTGCTAGGTTGCTTGAAAACGAGATTAATGATGATTTAGCCGAAATAGGAAAGGTACACATATCGTAGTTCAATAGTAAATATTTAATTGCAAATAAACTAATTTTTTTTTTTCCAGGTTTCCTCAACCAGGAAAATGGTTCCCACTCATCACAAGAAAAAATAACCGGCCATCCACATTAAAAACACTTATTCACTTTATTATTTGTTTTCGAATGATTATTACCCATTCATATTATTTTATTCATTAATAAATGATTTTTCAACGACCCTTACAATCGCAATTTATTCTTGATAAATAGAAACGGTGTAGAAAGATAAAATACCCTTATACAGTTTTTGCTTATTTATATAGTTGCAATATTCGTATTTACGGATTGTAAAATTTCGAGAAAAGAATTTAGCGAATATATATGTCGCACAGCCCCTATTCTTCGGCAAGAATTTCTCCGATATCGTACTGCGCATTACAACCAATTAAAATTAAGATCTTAAAATCACGTGCTTATTTAAGATATTAAAAAATTTGTATACCTTCTTAAAATATACATGATAATATAACTTGTAATCTGATTTGAAAAATTGAAGCTAACTTTAAACTTACTAGTTTTATTTTGTTTCTAACACGTTCGTATTTCACTCTTTTATTCATTGATTTGACAATTTTATTATTTTTTTTTATTTCAAAAAAAGTTATTCCTATCCTTTTTAATCTCATTATAAACAAAGTAAAACTTTTTTTTTTTTTTTTTTTTTTAAAAAAAAAACGTACAATCTTTCTTTTTTTCCTGTAATGTTAAATCAAAGTTATGACTATATAGTATCTTTCTTCTTATGTTTCTTTATGATAATACACACGATTGAGGCTCAACCGAATAAAACAATATTAGCGAAGCTAGAAGGGATCAAAAATGGGTGGTTATCCACAGGTTCAAATGTTAATTACGCATTCGATAGAGAAATCAATCCTCTCGGTTTATCACTGTTTGCTTTTTCAACAAATTCAACCACGAAAATTTCATCAAATGAAAAAATATTTATTACTGTAACAACTTGTAAAGCTCCTTTGCCAAATTTAAATAAAAAACCTAAATCACCTCCCGCTGAACAATTAGAAATTTGGATTTCTACAAAATTAAAAAATCCTGGTCCAACAATCATTGAAAATGGTGGTGGTGGTGGTGTTAAATATAAGTTAAATGAAGGTTATTTAAAAGTTGTTATACCAAATGAGAATAAGAATGGATTGTATATAGGAGTATTTGCCCCTAAATTATCTGATGATTATTTTGGTCATTATTGGTTTCAAATTGGAGCTTCTACTAAAGGTAGGTAAAAATAATGATTATTATCATGTTCAATACTACTTATTTATAATATGGAATGGTTCTTTTAATGCAAATTTTTCACTCAAAAACAGATTTTTTACATAAAATTCCGACTGTGAAAGGGTTGATATTAGATGATACGGATAGTACAAATGCTTTATTTAGAACGGTTAATATTAGTTCAAAACAACCTTTTTATGATGTAACTTTTGTTGAACACAAATTTGTGGACGGAATCTCTCAATCATTATGTGCATATACTGAAAATCGTTTAAATTCAAAAAATGTCTCATATACGACGAGGGAATTATATGGATCATTTCAATCTTTAATTACTATAAGTAATTTAAAAAATGGAACAAAATATTCCGTCCTTGTTAAAGAAGAATCAGTTAATGATCCAAAATTTTTCGTGCCTATGGCTTTTCAAACACAATCTCGTAAGTAATTTAATTTTGACTAATTTTAAATTTTTCTCTGCAAACTTTTATTAATTTTTTTTCATTTTTACTTTTTGATGGAACGTCATTTTTAGAAAATAATTGTATGATAATAAAAGATCTTAAATTTTGTGATAAGGTCTCTTATTCTGTACCAAAAACAATCTCAAAAACAACTGAACAAGAATTAGCAATTGGATATGATAATTTGGCAGAATCATATTTTAATAATTTCAAATTAACAATAGACCAATATCCATGTGATGATCCTCGTTCAAAATATTCCTTAGTTAGAAATTGTAATGATTGTAAAGAAGCTTATAAAGATTGGATATGTGCTATAACAATTCCTCGTTGTGCTAATGAAGATTCAATTTATGGTAATGAAAGAAACAAATCTCGTGTAGAAGTCTCTGATGAGACTATGAAAATTGATCAACCTTTTGTAGAATTACCTCCTTGTATTGATTTATGTTATAATATTACTAGATCTTGTCCTGAAAGTTTTGGTTTTAGTTGTCCTAAATCATCAAATTCAACAATTTCAACTTATGGTGATATAATTGATAGTCAATATCTTACATGTAATTCTCTAGGAATGGATTTTTCTTCTATATCTAATCTTGCAATATGGTTTTCAATACAATGGACATTAATATTATTAGTTATTGGATTTACAATTTTAATAGTAGGAATATGATTTTTTACTTCCTTACCTTTTTAGTCATGCATATATATATATTTATTTATTTTCTTCCTCCTTTTCACTAATATTTTATAATTCATTTCAAAAAAAAAAAAAATTTTCACAACATAATTTCATATATCATCAAAATTTTCTTATAATCACATTTTATAAACCTATTTAATCTTGAAATAAAAATAATTACTATAAAATCAATTCAACAAATTATAATTAACGTTAATATCAAAAGAGAGAAAAAAGAAGTAATAATTACAATTACAATTACAATTTTTGTAAATATTAAATAGGAATATATACATACATATATATAATTTTTTATACCTGTATTTTTATATAAATATAATTCATTCAACAATTAAAATCAATTATTTTCTGAACCAACGTTTTATTAAATTCCTTTAATGACTACGTGTTTATCATTATTCGCTTGTTTAGTTACAACTCTTCCAATTGTATAAACATCGGATTCATATTCTTCAAGTAATTTTTTAACTTTGATTTCATCATCACATGACACTATTAAAACCATTCCAATTCCACAATTAAATGTTCTGAATAAATCGTCTATTGAATAGTGTGCAATTTAGAATGTTAGAAACAACGTAATCTAACCTCATATTTAAATATAATGCTTACCTGAAGGGATGTTTCCATTTTCTTTCAACCATTTAAATACTTTCGGCAATTCCCAAGCATTCGAATCTATGATAACTCCAATATCTTTTGGTAAAATTCTTGGTATATTATCTATAAAACCCCCTCCAGTAATATGTGCCATTGCTTTTACAAGCCCCCTTTTGACAACAGGCAACAACTGTTTGACATAAATCTTTGTTGGAATGAGAAGACTTTCACCTAAAGAAATTGTTGGATTCCATGGACATGGCGATTTATATTCAAAATTGTGCTTATCGATGATTTTACGAACCAATGAAAATCCATTTGAATGTATGCCTGATGATGAAATTCCTATGAGAACATCATCAACTTTTATATCTGATATACGTGGAAGAACATTTCCACGTTCTACAGCTCCCACTGCGAATCCTGCCAAATCGTATTCACCTAAATTTAAGAAAGAAATATATAAGAAATTTGACAAAAAAAAAAAAGAATCTAATTCAATTTGTCGGATTTTAAATATAATTTCACCATGATTGTAAACGCCGGGCATCTCCGAAGTTTCACCGCCAAGTAAAGCGCATCCAGATTCACAACATCCAGCAGCGATGCTTTTCACTACAGTTTGTGCGACATCAACTTCTAATTTACCGCATGCATAATAATCAAGGAAAAATAAAGGCTCTGCGCCTTGTACAATAAGATCATTGACATTCATAGCGACAAGATCAATTCCTAAATGATCAAAAATTAAATAAATAAATAATTTAAAATGTTTTTACGCGTCAAAATTATATATACCGATAGTATCATGTAAATTCATAGCCTGAGCAATTTTTAATTTGGTTCCCACACCGTCTGTGGTCGATACTAAAATCGGATCATCAAATCCAGCTGTCTTCAAATCAAATAATCCACCAAAGCCTCCAATTTCACAATCAGAACCTGAGCGTTTAGTGCTTTTCAAATATGGTTTGATTTTTTGAACAAGAGAATTGCCAGAATCAATCGAAACACCGGCAGAAACGTAGGTCATAACATTATCCTTCTCAAATTGGTTGGATAAATAAGTAAAGGCGCTAAATATAAATAATTATAAGCATAAATAAAGTGATTACAAATATGAAAAAAAAATTATACATAATCTAAATGTATACCGGTGAGCAATATCTTTTCTGAAATACATATTATCAAAACTGATATTCTTGATGCATTCATATGCTTTATCAACCGCATTTCTTAATGTAGGTGCTATACCGGTTACCGCAAGCACACGACCACCAGATGTAACAAGCTTTCCATCTTTGATACTAGTACCCGCATGAAAAATTAATGTGTCTAAATAGTCATATGATTATCGTTATATATACATATGACGAAATAATTGCGTACAAGAAATAAAGTATTTACCAGAAGGAATATTATTAAAACTAATATTTTTTCCTTTCGAATAATTTCCGGGATATCCACCAGAAGCGGCAATTACGGTTGCCGCAAATCCTGGTTTAGTTTCAATATGCACTGAATCCAACCGTCTCTCAACACAAGCCTATGAATTGTAATATTAGTTTGAACCTAATATTAGATTTCGAAACAAAGATTCGGTAATTAAATTACCAGAATTATGTCTGCCAAATCTGATTTATCACTTAAAAGTGGTAAAGCAACTTCAGTCTCTGGATCTCCAAATCGTATATTATACTCCAACACTCTAGGTCCAGAATTCGTTATCATGATTCCAGTAAACAGCATTCCAACAAAAGGAAACCCTTTTTTTTTAAAAAAAAAAAAAAGGCTAGAACTTTAATATGACTATTAACATGAAACTTCTTTATAATATTTACCATCGTGTCGCATGCCATCAATAGTAGGTTGTAAGATCGTATTCTGAATTTGGGCGATAAGTTCAGGAGTGGCGATTGGTGTTGGACAATAACATCCCATCCCACCTGTATTTGGTCCCTTCAGAAATTCCACACAATTATTAGTAAAACAGTTAAATATGAAATTACGTGGATTTTTGAATATTCACTTGATCACCATCAAAAATACGCTTATGATCCTGAGCAGGTGGAAGAGGAATAATAGTATAACCATCCGAGAATGCCAATACACTCAATTCTTGACCTTCAAGAAATTCTTCAATAACAACTTCATCGCCTATGTAAATAAATTATATATAAAAGGTATAACAAAAAAAAAAATTTGCTAAATAAAATTTTATAGTTACCCGCTGATCCAAATTCTTTATCAACCATTATTTTTTTCAGTGCATTCAATGCTTCTTGATTATTAGTCGGAATTATGACTCCTTTACCGCCAGCAAGACCCGAAGCCTTAAAACATTAGAATGTATCAAAGATGAATGAGCCTTATATAACATATATCTCTCTAATTATATTTTATTTTATTTTACCTTTATGACGACATTATATGATATTGACTCCAGGTAAGCCCTTGCCTTCTCATATTCTGAGAAATTCTAAAAATTGCAACAATAGAAATTTATAATATAAATAATGCTTAAGGTAATTCTAGCATAATAATAACCTCATAAGTCGCAGTTGGAATTTTGTGCTTTTTCATGAAATCCTTTGCAAAAGTTTTCGATCCTTCCATCATCGAAGCTTTAGGTGATGGTCCGAAACATGATACTCCAACTAATTAAGAATTGACGATAATCCGAGAATTTTCTTTTAATCATGGGAATCATAATTAAATGCGTATATGAAACTTACTCTTTTTAAAGGCTAATTCGATTCCTTCAACTAGTGGTTGTTCGGGTCCTGGTATAACCAAATTGATCTATAAAATGAATTATTTAATTTACAACTAATGCCAAATAAAAAAAAAAGTTATTTCAGAAGAGCTCATACGTTATTTTCCTTTGCAAATTTGGTTAAAGAACCAAAGTCACTAACACTAATGTTGATATTAAACACTTTATCAATTCCGGATTCTGTGCCTCCATTTCCTTAACATTATAAGTATATACATTAACAAAATTCAAGAATTTTTGAAACGATAAAATGCTAGTATTCATATATAAACCTGGTGCTACATAAATTCGTTCTACTCGAGGCGAATGAGAGAGCTTCCAGGCAATTGCATGCTCTCGGCCTCCGGAACCTACGACTAAAATATGAAGCTTATCTAAAATAAGAAAAATGTTAATACAGTAATAAAGAAATATTAATTTTTAACTATTTTAGTTTTTACAAAGAAATTGATACCTGTTGATGTCATATTAAAAGCAATCAATAAATCACGATCGCAATAAATTTATTTTATCTTTATCGGATTATGTAGGCCAATCAATTAACGGAAATTAAAAAAAACTTCAAAAAATTTCAGTGGTCATATGTCATGTGGGTCAATTCTATGGCCGCCAATTGAAACTTTGACCCAGATAGTCAAGCATTTAATTAGACTTACAACATGAATTAAAAATGAATTTATATTAATATTAAATCATCATTTATTAATATTTATAATTTCATACAAGATAGATAAAATTATATCTAACTATATAATGTAACTATTTTTGATTAAGATATGAATTTGATTTAAAATTTATATTTAATAGATCTATTATTATGAGAAGATCATCAGATGAAATAGATCTATTGCAATTGTGAGAAGAAATATCAGGATTCTGAAAATCTCTTATATAACTCAGATTTTTTTTTAATGATATAATACTGTCATAAATTACAAATAAAAAATTTAAAGTAAAAATAATAAAAACAAAATTATAACTATTTCTATAATTATATTCAATGATCAAAATAGTTCAAATTAGCATAGCCAATTTTATGCTGATTTTGATACTATTTATGATTAATTTACCATATTTTCTAATTAGTACAAATATATATCAATAAATACTAATCAACTCCAATCAGACATAACTATTCAGCATTAATTCAAAACTTAAATTCAACCATAAATTAGCCTAAAATTAATCTCAATTCAGCATTAATTCAGAACTTAAATAACTTAAAATTAGCCTCAATTTAGCATCAATTCAGAACTTAAATAATCATAAATCAGCCTAAAATTAACCATCAATTCAGTCAAATAATCATATAAATCAATACATCTTATTTATTAAATTTATTAAATATTAAAATTTTATTAATAATAAAAACCTAATATAAATTCACAAAAACATAACAAAAATATTATTAAAACCCACTGATTAATTTTCTATTTAAAAAATATAAGCAAAAAAGCAGAAAAACTATATAAAATAATAAAAATATTTCTCCTAAAATCCCTTTAAATTGTGCTAAATATTTATTATCATATTACCATTTTCAAAAATAAAAATAAAATAATAAAAATATAATTTATTTTTCTTCCAAAAATTATCTATAAATGTAAAAAATAATAAATAAAATAATAAAAAAATAAAAATCTATACCTTCTTATCAAATTACTTAAAATTATATTTTTTTTATTATAGAAGTAAAAAAAAAAAAATTTATTATTTAAAAAGTTGGCTAGTTAATTAATAAAATTTAACTTAAGTTTTATCTGATTTGATAGTTGAAGGTATATTTCTATTATAAAAAAATAAAAAAAAAATCAGTTTATTTTTTGTTTATTTTTTTTTGAAAAATTGATTAAAATATATTTAAATTTCATTTGATTTTAATAGTTGAAAACATATTTCTATTATAAAAAGTAAAAAAATCAGTTTATTACTTTAAAATTTGACTAAAATTTAATTTATATTTCAGCTTTTTCTTCATCTGATTTTGATAGTTAGAGGTATAATTTTATTAAAAAATCAATTTATTTTTTGTTTATTTTTGAAAAATTAACTAAAATCAACTTAAGTATTTTATTCTTAGAATAATTTATTAGTATTTTTGATAGTAAATAAAAAGAAAAAATTGGGAATAATTATAAAAAAATAAAGTTTAAGTTAAAATTATTTTTAAAAAGTGGAAAAATTAAGCTTATTTATATAAATATTCTAAAAATAAACTCAAATAGTATATTAAATCAATATTAATAAAATTATCCTTTTAATTAAAAAAGTTCTTTAAATATTTGATATTATTTTAGTAAATCAATTTAATCCAAAAATTTAATTTATTAAAATAATAAAATATTATATTTAAGAAATGATAAATACATTGTACTTAAGGTATAATAGTAATATTATTTTTTAGGTATGATAAATGTATTATAACTAAGGAATAATAAAATATTGTACCTTAAGAATGATAAGAATTATATCTAAGAAATGATAAAATTATCATACCTTAAAAATAATAATATTATTATACTTATGAAATGATAAAATTATCGTATCTTAGAAATGATAAAATATTATACCTAAGAAACAATAAATGCATTGTATCTAAGATATGATAGTAACATTATTTTTTAAGCATGATAAATGTATCGTACTTAAGAAATGATATTACTATTATACCTTAAGAATAATAATATTATTATACTTAAGGAATAATAAAACAATTATATCTTAAGAATGATAAACATTATATTTAAAAAATGATAATACTTTATACTTAAAATAGAAGTGTGTTTTAAATCTGATCAATCTAGGATATCTAATCATCTATCTAAAATTTGATCAGATTTAGATTGATCTGTTTATAGTTAACCCTTATTATAATGAACTCTATATCTTAGATTTCAATTTTGTTATAAGGTTATAGTGAAGATTTTAAAAGATTTGATTAGCCAATTCACTATAATAAGAGTATTTTATTATATTTGTTCAAAAAATTCATTATATTAAAAGTTTGCTATATCAAGAGTTGACTATATATTACTAGATTAATTAGATAGATTATTAGATATTTAGTAAATAAATTAGATAGATGATCTATTGGAAATCTAATCAAATCGACTTAGGTAAGTATAAATTTTTTTTATTTAATTTTTTTTACAATAATATTAAATCAATTACATCTTTTTTTTATAAAAACTTTTGTCTATAAAACAGTCTTTTTCTGAATTTTGTATTTCAAAATAGTTGAAATTTTGACTTAGATAACTTAAATTTAAATGTAAGTGCAAAATTCTTTCTTTTTTTGTCTTAAAAATGTTAATAATTTTTATTTTTTAAGGAATATCTTTCTGTATCTGAATTTCAGCTTAGACTATAAACATAAGATGGTGTAAGAGATTTGTTTTTATTTTTTTTAACTTTAGGATACCATTAACATTTCTTTTGCTTCTTTTTTTTAAAAAACACCTTTCCGGAATTAGATTTTAGCTTAAATTATAAAGATAAGTTAGGTATATGTATTTTTATTTTTTCTTAGTTTTTGAAATACTATTAACGTTTTTTTTACTTTTTTTCTTTAGAGAACACCTTTTTGAATTTAGATTCAGCTTAAGCTATAAAGATAAAGTAATATAAAGGATTGTTTTTATTTTTCTTTATTTTTAAACTGCTATTAATGTTTCTTTTTTTTTAGGAAATACCTTTCTAAACTGAATTTTAGCTTAGATATAAAGTAAGTTAGATATAAGGTTTTTTTTTTATTTTTCTTTGTCTTTAAATATCATTAATATTACTTTTACTTTTTTCTTTAAGGGATGTTATTACAAGAATAATTATCAAAAGATATTAAATATAATATTAAAAGATCAGTTATTAGAAATCATTTAATAATATTTTAATTAAAAATTATTTATTAAATAGTAAGATAATAAAAGTAAAATAAAATAATTCAATGTAATATAAGATATTGTAATATAATAGATAGTGATATAATAGTTATATAATTATAATTAGTCAAATTTAGAAAACAAAGTAGAAAGTAAATGGTAAAGATATTAAAACATAAGTAAATATTAAAATACTGATTATAAAAATCAGGTAGAATTATACACAGACAATAAATATATATAGACAGTATTAATATACATAGATAGCATACACATATAGTAATTTTGATAGCAAATAGTATAAAGTTAACTAATTATATCACAGCTATATCAACCTTTAAAGATAGCTTAAGAAGAACATTAAGAAGGAGAGGAATCAGTTAATGGTCTTTTTGAAAAATTAGAAGGGAATTAAAAAATTATAATAAATAATATCTTTAATAAAATAACCTTTAATTATATAAATCTTTACCTATATTTCTTGAGAAATTAATAGTTAAGAACATGTTTAATAAACTGAAAGAAATAATATGATTCATTCTAATTCTAAGTAAGTTTATTAACTTATATTTTACTGTTTGATATTCTTAAGACCATTAAGTATTATAAATAAATAAATTAAGTAAATAAATTAAGCGTAATAATATCTTTCTAGACCTGAATTTTAGTTTGAGCTATAAAGAAAAATTAGTATGAGGATTGTTTTTATTTTTTCTTTATCTTTGAAATGCTATTAACATTTTTTCTTTAGAGAATACCTTCTTAAATCTGAATTTTAACTTAGACTATAAAAGTAAATTGATATAAGAGATTATTTTATTTTTCTTTGATTTTAAAATGTCATTAATGTTTCATTGCTTTTTTTCTTTAAGAAATATTTTTCTAAACTGTGATTTTGACTTGAATTATAAAAGTATATTAGAAATAAATAAATTTCACTTTTTTTTTAATTTAAGAATGATACTATAAATATTTTTTAATTTTTTCTTTATAAGTGTAAAAATTTACACAAACTTTAAATGATAAATTAAAAAAGGAAAGATTCATTTTTATAAAACAAATAATAACAACTTAATTAAGATATTTTATAAAATTTCTATATAAAGTTTTTGTTTTATCTAACTTTAAAAAATTGGTTATTTTATAAAAATATTTGTTATATATACTTTTTTTTATACATACTTTTTTTTTACACATGCTCTCTTTTTTTAATTTGTTTTTTTTTAAAAAAATTTTTATATTTTTATAATAAAATTTTAATAAATTTATAAACATAGATTTAAGTTCTATTGAAAATAATCAAAATAATTCAAATAAAACTCAAAAAAATAGGAAAAATCACAAAAAAAAGTTAGGTATAGAATTAATTTGTATTTAATGATGAAATTACTAATATCAAGTAAAGGTTATTATAAATAAAATATGTGATAAAAATTATCAGCATAGAAGTTTAACAGATATCTTAATAAATCATTTAAGTAGTAAATATTAAATAACTAAAAAAACAATTAAGCAAAATTATAAGATAAGAAATAAATTAAATAAATAGTAATTTATTTATTTAAATTTAATAATTTAGTATTAATTAA